GAAAGACACCATTGCCAGACTCTCTAAATACTTACATTCAAGTCAGGTAGATGCAACATGTTAGCCTGAGAATTATATTCTTTCCCACTTTCCTGGGAAAGGACAAGAAGCCAAGAGTGGCCCCCACCACCCCCACTTCATTCATCCAGGAGAGCTCCTGACTTATCAGCTAGTTCCCTTCTGTCCTCAGCACAAACTCTGCAAGAGCTTAAGCCTCCGTCTCCCCAACATCTTTCTTTTCAAGATGCTCCAGCATCCTGCAGCTATGCCATACAGTCCTTAACTCTGAAAAGACCTTCTGTTGGACTACACCTACACTGCCCACACGAAGAACCAGGTTTTATCCCTGAAAAGCAGAAGTGTAAAAGCGGCAGTGTTGAACAGAAGGAAAGTAGGTAAGTCCTCACGGCCTTCCGACAACCCCACTGCCACCATCGCACCATTAACAAAAGATGGAAATAGGAGCAGGGAAAGGACTTGTGCCAGTTCCCAGAAGACAGCAGGCAGGATGCCGGGTGCTGCCGCAGTCTGCTGCCTGGAAGAGCTGCCACGCAAGCAGACCACAAGCCCTGCAATGTGCCCACTCCCTGAGGACTGGCGATCCAGATCAGCCCCTAAACTCTTCAAGATCCCTGAAGAAGCTCTGCATACATGTTGTGCAGGTTTGCCGGAAACCAAAACCAATTTAATTTTGATTTTAACATTTCTGAAACCCAAACAAAGCCCTGTAAGATATACACTCCTCACTGTTCCCTGCTAAAAGACAGACAAAATTGATTTTTAAACATTCATAATTTCCTTGTAAACTTCCTATATATAACTATGTCACATCCAAGAGTGAAAAAACCCTTCTTCTTTAAAAAAAAGGCAGAATGTTAAATGAGCCCATACCACGACAAACTTTACACTGAGCAATTTACACTTCAAAAAAATGACAGTTTAAAAAAAATTTCAAAATTCTACAAACAACTATAAAAAGTTAATTTTTGTAAACAAAAAAACATAGCTTAGAATTTTAAAGTCATTCACCGAACAAAGAATCCATTAATATTTAAGAATTTATTCAGCTTTCAAGAGCAAGAACGGATTTTTGGAAGCTGGATTGATCTTGAAAGAGAAAAGCCACTTTTCCGCCTTCCATTTTAAGTATGCCTTTCTTCTTTTAAACAGGGACTTCAAAAGGGGAACGTTTTTAGAACCCAAGACTCTCCCCTGAAAAAACTGACAACTCCAACACAGTTTGCTCAACTTTCTCTTTTAACTTCTATTAGCCCTAATGACAGTAGCTTGCACGTTCAAATTAAAATAGTCCTCACTTGATAAATCTCACCTACATTTTATATTTTGCCTTTGCTGCCTTGTTTTTTTTTTAAAGTGCGCTCACCAGGTTAATTCCAAGGTATCAATCATGTCAGATTTTACAGGAAGTAATTTTTGTCAGGTCCCTTGGAAATTTAATAATGTAAAAAAGTTCAGAATTTCAAAGTGACATTAACCTCCAAGCAAACATTTTGCCATTAAAAAACTGTTACTTTGCAGATCCTGTTATTAAAAATAATGCCACTGCATGACCAAAAATGCCAGAAAGGACAAGAACTACCAAGACTAACAATTAGAAAGCTCCTTCTTCTTCCAGAAAATAATGCCAGATGCTTTACTATCAAATTGATTAAATATTAGAATTAACAAAACTATTTTTAGAAGTAGACAGCAACGGTATCTTGGGGAAAAAAAAAACCAACAACCAACCTGTAATTTGTGAGCAATGTACAAGCTTTATTTCTGGCTCAACAGCCCAAGATGTATAATTAAGTGTTCCACTAGATGGAGCAGGATGGTAAAACCATCATGAAGGCCATCCCCCTTGCTGACCCATGAAAAAGTCAGTGTCCATCAATCAGGGATGATAAAAACTTTAGCTTTCTTCTGTGCATTCAGAGCAGAACAAAATTTGTTCCTCTTCCAAAAAAGGACAACAGAAAATGCCCTTAGTGCTTAATGATATTTATTTCTTCCCTCACAGAAGTTGACTATTAATAAGTTGACCAGAAACAAACAGATAACCAAACACTATCAGAAATAAAACTACTTTTTCCCCATTTCTATTAGCTTTACACAAGAAAGACAAAATTCTGTCAACTACTAGATAGTTGACAGAAAATTAAAATGTTGTAGGTTTTTTTATTTTATAGAAACTGAACTTGCAAAAAGATCCATGCCGAATGATCAAACACTAGTCACCTAATGCAAAAGACATTGCTACACATCAAACAAATTCACACTAGAAACAATGGCAAAACTTCAAAGAGGCTCCTAAAGACCTGGAGCTGTGCAAGTCATAGAAAAATTATCTCCCTGGTCTCTTTTCAAACAGAGCTAATTGTTGATTTACCTTTAACGTCTACCTAAACAAACAAACAAAAAAGAACCTTACAAATTTTATTTAATCAAATGTTCTTTAAGAGACGCGGTAGTAGACAAACTGCAGTTGTCCATCATCATGTGAAATGAGAAACCTGCTTTTCCTTGGCCATTAAACCTTATTTCAGCTTCTCCAAAAGAAGCAGAGTGAGTATAAACTAACAAAGAACAGTTTTAACCATTAATGTTCCAAATTTAAGTCCTGCAATTCTTCACTATACACAATAAAAACACCACGAATGGTCACAATTACCACCAACATCTTGCCAAAAAAAATCATACCATATTTCTGTAGGTGACACATAACTGCAAACATGCAGCAGCCTCTCATGAGAATACTAGTTATCACAGTAGTATAAATAACAGAAGAGAAAGAATCAAGTCTCAGATATGTGCACAAAGGCACACAGGCAGAAGTCTTGGTGACTGATCACAGGCTGCTGCCCATGATTGTTGCTCCCAGCTCTTTGTTTTCAGATAAATAAACTACACTAAAAACAAACATGGGCATGTCTCACACCAACGGACTTTCCAACTTACTAAAATTTGCTGCAGTATCTGAAGCTGTCATTTAGAAAGGAACTGGTCTAAGTGGAAGAAGCAGCAAATCTGGTCTTTGAGACAATACAATTGTCCACTGCATTAAGGTGTCAGCCTGTATTAAGACCATTTGAAAACATCTGCAAGGCTTTCAATAGAGATATTATTGCCTAACTGAACACCAGTTTTTCGCACCTCTCTGAACAGCTGATTACCAAGAATTCACTATGTAGCATACATTCCTTTTCCAAGGCAAGGAAAACAAGCATCAGGACCATTCAAACCACTGTCATTAACATTCAATAAAGAAATCTGTATATCGTAGTCAACATACAGCAGAATAGAAACAATACTTACTACTGTGCACAATCAATCAGTTGATATTCATTAGATCTCTCATAGCAGGCTTTCACACCTTCATCTTGCCAAAGTGTTTTTGTATGTTCATAAAACTCCTGAAAGAGTAAAAACAGTATTAGTAAAATGGATTATATATGAAGAGAATTGGCAAATGCTAACATATAGCTACCACTGTAATGAACAGTAAAAGGTAACATATTTAACAAAAAACTCGAAACATTTTTTAGAACCTGACTACAAGTTCAGTTGGCTCTCTTAGTTGTTTTGACTTTAACATTTTGTAACACTCAAAAAACTGCTTCTCAACCATTTTGACTGAGTCCATCTATATACTGAAAGAAGGGTTAACTTTTCATTAATGACAATTCTGTTGGCATTTTTAATAATCAATACATTTTGGTAACATTTGTTCTCTAACTCAGGATTTCACTGCATGCTATATCTATTTGTCTGTCAAGATTTATTTTTTCTTCAATGAAACAATAATTCTTACAATAGGTAGCAAATTATGATCAGGTTTTACTTGACCTTCCAAGTCAGTAAGGATCTTCAGGGACTATATAGACATCTGTATCTTTCTTAACTCTGAATTACTTAAAGCATTTGCAGAATTTATTCTTTTACAGTGTAAAAGGATATTGAACTACAGAAGTGCAGTGATACAAAGCTAGATCGTGTTTTGATTGTGTCAACTTTAAAAATTATAAGCCAGGATACAAAAGCAGACAGCCAAAAATGCAACGCTTTGGTTTCGTTGAACCTGCAATGCAAGCACAAAACACAACCTAAAGCATATAAAAGACACACCTTGGCTCCAACAGCAGCAGGTGCAGTATGTCATTGTATTTCTGGCTATCAGTCTAAGAACTTTGAATAGACTCAGAAGAGCAGCAGCCTAGTGACTTAAATACACACACCACTGTGGACATTACTTTTATCAACGACCATGGACTTTTCTTGGCTATCTCTCAGATCTTTTAAAGTGTTTTGGACTAAACACTTTTATACCGATTTTAAGTGGCTGAGATAACTTATTCCAAATCAGCTTTTTTTTTTGCATCCAGGTCAGCACATGACCTTTTAAACATTTGCTGCATATAGTCTATTTCTCCCCCCCGCCCCTTTTTGTTACAGTAGAAATAGTTTAAAGAAAAAGAATATATTATTTTAAATAGCCATTTTACTGCTTCAAGGTTCCTCCATTAACTTAGCTTTGGAATCGCTCCCTTTCTTGGGATATCAGACTCTCACATTCTTTTACTATCAATGTAGTACAAAGAAAGGGGGTCACATCCAAATGTGACTTCCAAGGTTTCACTCGAAAGTATCTTTTTAAAAAAAATTCATTTTCCTACCAGAATGTTAACCAGCACCTGAACTGTACCAGAACAGTAGATGCTTTAAATGGCACCTTAAGCATGCATAATGGCATCTTAAAGCAAATTTATGATGCAGATTTTCAAACCATCTTTTTTTTGGCAGGTATAAGATGCATATGTGATTGTGTGATCATACAACTGTGAATACCAATGATGGAAACAGCCTAGCAAATGTAAATTTGATCTTGCTTTTATCGCTATTAAATATTCACTAGCTGCACATACACACAAACAATAGTAAATGCACACTACACATTGAAAAACACCTCTATGGTAAAATTTTGCTCTAATTTCTTTTAAAGAGATTATAAAGTTTATATATAGTATTAAATATATCTTTGCAGTTTGTTCCATGCTTTTATGAGCTGTTCTTGGAACAAAAAGACCAGCTAAATTTCTTTCGTAAGCAGATAAGAATATTTTACTTGATTTTTAGTATTTGTAGATTGTACAACAATTTCCTGTTAAAGGAAGTAAAGATGAAGCAAAATCGTAACTCCAGTCCTCAGTTTTCTTTCTCCCACTGCTAGAATTACGTTCATTGGATACTTTCATTTTGAAGGTCTCCAATTTTTCGGCAGTTGGGGGACTGTTAATTGCCTTCAATCTTCAACTGTATCAGATAGTGTGGAAAATATCTTTTCAAAGCAAAAAGGAGTAGAAAGAGAAAGTAAAGTAGAGAAGGGGAATTATCTAGAATCTCACTGCATTTGAACCAAACCCATTTTGGGGTGGCTTTATATATTATTTTTAAAAGTAACAGTAGTCTAATACAGAACATCTCATGACTCAATGAACTTACTGCTACAAAGCTGGGAAATTGAAAAATTGAATCATCAATTTATGAGGGTTTTTTTTGCTGAAACAGCAGCTGATTCAAATAGACACACACCACTTAAGTTTCCCATTTAATCAAGATGACTTACACCAGACTTCAGATAGTTAATTGAAATATTTGGCAGAGATATAGTTCTAAAATAGTGATCTACTTCAAACTGGGATCAGCATCTGCCAAGCCAATTATCTCCAAATATACCCCAAAATACTTGCTTCATCCTGCATTACTGTAAGTAAACAAATAACTAGGCAAAGACAAGTTTACAGAAAATGCAATAAACCATAAAGATTCCTCATCACCTAGAAATGTACATTTAAAGTGAAAAGAGGCAGTGCCTTAATGAAAAAAAGTCACAGCATAGTAAAACTCTACCACGAAAACGAGACGCAAAAGTCCTTCCTCACTACTGTTTCTCACTACAGCTGTGCCATTCTGGTAGAGAACTGATATAAAGCAATTATTTCAAACAACTTATGAACTCCATCGTATCTTGCAGAGAAACATTTGGAGTAGTTTCTGCAATCAGACTCTTAAAATGGGATGAAAAGTAAATCCAGTTCCTGGCCCTAGCATAAACACATTGATAATAAAAAGCCTAGGATTTAGTTTAACAGAACAGTTACATCTTGTTCAGAAGAGTCCTCCCTGGGTTTTACAGGCAGTTCTGAACTTCTAAGAAAGTATGTGGATTCAATAATGGTGTAATGGTCAATGTTTGTGCCTTGTTAGGCCAAATTAGCAATAAAATACTTAGTACTGCCTTTATGTCTGTCCTGCTGCTCTGAACTATAACCGGCAATACTTATGCAATCTTTTCAATATGGTTATTAACTGTCCACGTGGGACAGAAAAAGAATTTATGTCCACATTCTTTGAACTTTTTATTGGCATTTCAAAATCAGGATCTACAACAAATAATGAGTAATAGATTATAATACTAAGACACAGTGGGGTTTTTGTGTTTATTTTGATTTTTTTGTTGTTTGTTTTGTCTTAAAAACTGAACTACATGACTTGACAGCCAAATATGAAGGCCTTTTATTAATAAACAACCTTTTGTCTTTAGGCCACACCAAATGTATTTTCACACATTTTGGGACTAATGCTGCCCAGCTCACACAACCATAAACTAGGAAGGTGTTCACCAAAGCAAAAGTTGGAACCAGGCTTACAAAGTTCCAGTCTTGCTTTATTAGAAGACTTGTGACTGATTTTGGAATTAAGACATAGTAGCTAATTGCAAAAACCAGATTCTTCCTCCTCCCCAATACACCTACACTAACCACAATTCTGAAATAATATTTAAGAAAAAGAATAACATAAGAAATCCTCAGCATTCTATTTCAGCCATGGAATGTAGCCGGGGGCTACTCTCAGGGAAGGCAAGTAAAACCACAAGATTTGTTATGTATTTAGGTAAAATACGGGCTTCAGAAGCCACTAGAAAAATCAAGTTAGCAACAGTTTGGGGTTGGGTTGTTGGGTTTTTTTTAATATTTTTTTTTGGTGTGTGTTAAATAGGTCTAATTTGTATGAGATCTCTAAAAATAATTAGTCAGGAAACAAATTAACCAAAAGTAGCAGGCAAATTTCCTGAAAAGAAATAGCCAGAAAACTAGTCCTTACATGTTTGGTTCTTGTTTCCATAACACTGATTCATTTGTTGGCACATTCTAATATAACAGACTCTACAGCAATATCAACACAGGTTTCTCTTGCCCTATAAAATGGAACTCCTAACAAAACAGCTAAAATAAACAAATAATACTAAATAATTTGGTTTGAGATGACATTCCACAATAAACAGGATTTAAATGCTAGGTTCCAAACCACCCATGCAAAGTACGGTCATATTATCTATTCTTGCCCTATGCATACTCAAAACTGAAAAAAATATTCAAGTTATGTCATTTTCCGTTAAAAAAAATGCTGCAGTTACAGAATACACACCCAAGATCCTGTTTAAACTATAGCTGAAGCTGTGTAAAGCAACAAAAGTCAACATAAGTGATGACAGCATGGTACTGCCAGGAAGGTGAGAAGTCACTTCTTCCTAAGAATTATGTCAAGACTGTAGCATTTATTTATCACCAGACCAGACTTCACGCTTTTCAAAGCACTAACATAATCCTAAAGAAGGAGAAGTCTTTGTGTAGAACACTTAGGGAAAACAGTGCCAACGTAAGACAAATCTTAACAGAATGAACAGGGCTTGACTTTGGATGTGGTCAGGCTGGGCATGGGCATAGCTTGAATTCTGGGCACAGTCCCTAACTAACAGGCTACACTTCTGTGAGACTATTAAACAAACCTCCGAGAAACACTGTCTGGGTAAAGCTTCTCTGGTCTTAGATAACTGAAGAATCAAGGCCCATGACTTGCTGATGGTAAGGAAGCCTCATCTCTCATCATACTGTAACACTGCAATACTTAAAAAGTCGTATTTATGTGAAAAGAAATTTCAGTATTAATGTTCTATTTATTAGACAACACTTTCTCCACCTGCTGAAAGTTTCTCAATGCAATGGGTCAACAGGCAACATTTGTCAATCACTTGTATTCGTTTACAGGAATCTACATAGGCCTCTGGAGAAAAAAACAATCAGCGGACACCATCATGTAAAAGAGATGCTTGGGAAACAGTGCTTTGTTCCAGAAAGATCTTACCGACACAATTCTGGGTTAGGAACGGGGCAATGCAGAATCCACTCAAGTTAAAAACCTACCTGCGCTGGAAGAATTCAGCAAATTGAATTAATGGCAGCAGGTAAACAGTGGATTTATTAAAAGTCAAACCAGAGAAAGCGTTAAAGAACTTGGAGGCTGAGCATTTTGGTGGTTAAAAAAAAAAAAAATAAAAAAAAAAAATCCTCAAGAG